CCCAAATGAACAATTTTGTCAATTAACCAAGCCATCAAGATGAAAATGAGCCTCATTGAAATTCAGCCACATTTATGCAAAACGGTCATGGAAAATTTCAACAAGAGTGTGTATGTGCCAGCAAAGCCGTGGAGGCCATTTACCCAATATGCTATTCTATACATAACCCTATACTATATGCTTTATGAATCAAAAAAAAATTTACAATTTTTAATTATAAACCTGTGTTTTCTATCAAAATTACTTCTTGCATGAATTTGGGACACCCTTTATTTGTATTCACATTTATTGCAGTCTTTAATACCAGCCATCCTCCAATCCTGCTTTGTAAAAGGTGAGTTTTATAATTAGAGTCCGCATGTGTTTGTATCCTGACTCCGCCATTTACTAGCTCTGTGACCTTGAGCTAACCTCTTGTCACTAAGCTTCGGTTTCTGTGACTGTGACCTACAAATGGTACAGATGCCTCAGAGGAGGTGGTGAGAATGACCATAGACAGGGCAGGTAAAGAGCACAGCACGGTCCTGTGGGAGTGGCTCAGTGGTTGAGCATCAACCCATGAACCAGGAGGTCACCGTTTGATTCTCGCCAGGGCACATGCCCAGGTTTTGGGCTCAACCTCCAGTAGGGGGCTTGCAGGAGGCAGCCTATAGATGAGTCTCATCATTGATATTTCTATCTCTCTCTCCCTCTTCCTCCTTCTCTCTGAAATCAATAAAAACAAAACTTCGTGAACATTTTAGAAAGTTAATACGTTCAATTAAAGATATTTGAAATTAACTAAAAATAATTATGAGTAGGATTAAATGTAATCTTTGTCATTTCACTGGAGACATTTTCCCCTGGGTCAATCTTAGAAAGTCATTATATTTACTTCATTTCATACCTCCATAAATTTTAAAAAATATATTTCAAATAAAAAACTGAAATATATTAAGGACTCATTTTACTAATGAACTCATCTCCATTTAAAAGGATTTTTGATATTAAAAAATAAAGTACTTGCAAAAATCCTCTAACAATATGTTGGGGAACTGAAATCCACAAAAAGATCATGGTTGCATATTTTGAATTCTTTCAATGCCTGAACGTATTCAACATTTTTTGAAGACTGTCTATATCACATCTGGCACTAATTCCCTGGAGAAATGAATAACCTTTCCCTGCCTAAAGGAGCTCATTGTCTATTGGAGAGATGGACAAATATGGTTCATTGTAATAAAAAGTTTTGGGAGTGATGTTAAAGTAATCATGGAGGGCTGTGGAAGCTCATGGCAGAGATTCTAACCTCAAACAGGTTGTTTTTCTTTGACACAATGAAAGTTGCTCCCTCACTGACATTAAGTGAAAACAGAAAGGTAGATATGAATGTGTCATGTTTCACCTGACAACTGCAGAGAAAAATATAAAGATAGATGAAAGTCAACCTTTAAGTTCGGAAATTTAGTAGCAATAAGTCTGTTGGATTTATACTTAGAAGTAGTTACATGTTTTGGTGACTATGATGGGGATAACACAGTAAAAATCTCATCATTGGATTGCAAAAGGTTTTCACAGGGAAAGTGAAGCATAAAGGAAGGAGGATGGGTTTTGGCTTAAGTAGACTTAGGTTGAATTACTGCTCTGTCACTTACTACCCATGTGTCTTTAGACTAGCAATTTTCAACTGGTGTGTGCCATACAGTTGAATTCTTAAAAGATGCAATACCTGACTATTAGTCAGGGTCACTAACTTCTCCCCCCTTAGCTTGTCAAATAAAAAAATGGAGACCGCCAACAAAACAATAGCAGTCCATTGTGAATGAGTCAAAAGTATACCTATTTTTTTTGTTAGATAGGAAAAATATATTTTTTGGGATGCTGCAGAATTTTAGTAATTAGTTTATGTGTGCCATGAAATGAAAAGGGTTGAAAATCACTGCTTTAGACAACTCACACTCCTTAAAACCCAATTTCTTAATATGCAAAGTAGAGCTAATACTAGCTTACACATAGAGCTATAAGCATGAAATATGATAATGTTCACATATATTTGTGATGGGGCATCATGAATGACTCAAATGTAGGCTACGGGGTCCTTGGCAAGGAGTGAAAGGATGTTGGCAAGTGTGAAGCAGTAACCTGATGTCAGAAACCTGGAGTGCTAGGTAGGAAACAAAGGCAGGGATGTGAGTGATGATATGACAATAAAGGTAGTAATCACTATGGCTCCTTCCAAAGCTCAGAATATTTATCACTGAATTAAGCCTTTGATTTCCTATGACCTCTTATTTACTCATAATCTTAACTCTGCTTGGAAAAAATCATGCTTCAGTTTACCTCTTGGCTGAGTAGCTTCCCCTTATCTGTATGAAGCCAGAAGCTCTGGGATGCGTTCCCTGGTATATTACCCATGTGAATACCATACCTTCCCACTGAACAATGGCTCAACCCCCAGTGAGCAAAATATGAAGTGTAACTGTCCTACATGCACTGAGTTGGAAGAGATGCTCAGGGAACGGTAAGTGAGATAGAACAGGAGGGCAGGAAGCTTCCAGAACATGATAAAACAGCCCGTGGAAGCAGAGGAAACACAGTAACTTGAGAGCAGGTGGGTAGCTCACAAAGCACCATTGCAAGAAAGTAGTAGGGGTCACTCAAGAAGAGATGGGATTCAAAAAGAGAAAAAGATGATGCGTACCCATGGGTGAGAAGTTTTATAGCAGTTGATATTTGGAGAGTATCAAGAAGGTGGCAATTATTATAGACCCAGAAAGAATAACAGCAAGAGATTAACATTACCTCTGCAAGTCAGGACTCATGGGGACCTCCTAGGTAGGGGAAAGAGATACAGTTAAGGGTAAGATAGAGCCCCACGATCAGAAGACGAGGAGTGCGAGGGAGAGAGGGAGATATTCTCACATATGAGATGAAAATGGATCCTACAACCAGGATTAAGTACCAGGTTTGGAGCTGAATTTATAGTCGATACCAAGGAAAGAGGAGGTTTCTAGATGGGAATCTTTATTTCTACATTGAAGAACTTTTAAAAGCCCTCTCTAAAAATAGGATCCCCCTCATTGTCAGAACAAAATAGAGGCTGGTGCGGCTTCAATGAATCAGCCGAGAGGTTAAGAGGGATGAGGGAGGCCCTAACCAGTTTGGCTCATTGGATAGAGCATTGGCCTGCGAACTGAAGGGTCCCAGGTTCAAATCCGGTCAAGGGCATGTACCGTGGTTGCGGGCACATCCCCAGTAGGGAGTGTGAAGGAGGCAGCTGATCGATGTTTCTCTCTCATCGATGTTTCTAACTCCCTATCCCTCTCCCTTCTCTGTAAAAAAAATCAATAATTTATTTTTTTTTTAAAAAAAAGAGGGATGAGGGAGGAAGAATCAGATCCTTCTATGTAGCTGGGTATTTTCCAAATTCAGAACATTTAGAAAGTACAGGTTGAGGAAGCTGAAATTTCTCAAACCCTGTGGAAGACTAAAGAGAACTAGAACCTTGTTTTTAAATGTGTAAAGTGTTGCTCTTGAAGAAAAGCAGCCAGTTATGATCTCCCCCATTGCTACCACTTTAATACACCCTTCCTATAGTTGAAACACTATGGTCTCTTTATGCAGTCATTAGTAAAAGGGTAAAATTTCCATAGCACTCTAAAGTTTCAAAGCCCTTCTTGTGTTCATTATTTTATTTTCTTCAGACCTCTATGAAGTAAAAGCAACGATATAATCAGACATAGTTCCGGGTGTAGAAATGGAAGTACAGATGAATGACTTTATTAAGGTCTTCAAAGCACTTAAAAAATCAAAGCCAGATGATTTAACTCTGATTCTTGGCCAATTCCCAGCCTTTCACTGAACACGGAGGTGAATGAGCGAAGCATCTGCTAAATTATGCCTTTCAATAATCGTGCCCCTGGCCAATCTTGGATATTAAACCTCATCTTCCCTAACATCCTAGCTCCTGTGCACTGCTCGGGCTTAGGATCACACTAAATTCCAGAGTTTGTTTCCTCTGGCCGCCCTCTCCGTTTACCCCGAAGGAAAGCTGTGCATGTGAAGGGCAAAAGCTTTGGATTCCTGCTGACATGGATTCCAATCCCAGCTGTAAGACGCTACAACTCCCGCCACAGTGCTAACCAGCATCGGTACCTCCGTTTTCTAATTGGAAAAATGGAGTATGCAATACCTATTCTGGAGAGTCTTAAGCTTTTCAAATGAGATCACATATGTCAAGCACCTAGGATAGTGTCTGGCACATCCACACTGCAGAGCCATTGGCTTTTTTGCTGAGGACACTTTACCCTTTTCAAGCCACTATGCTACCTCGTTTGACATAGGGGAGCGGGGCTGGCTCCGTTTTGCAGATGAGGTGTAAGACCGCTTCAGCACATTTCTCGGGATCACATATAAGGTAAGTAAAGATGGGGTTAGACCCCAAGCCTCCTAATGTTTGTTGAAGATATGCATTTTGGCACCCTACGTCACATCCTCTTAGCAAGACTGGTTTCAGCCACAGCTACAGTGGATGGGACCTGCCTGGAGAGAATTCCTACTCCAGGCACCACTGTCCCCTGACTATCTATCCTCTTCTCTGCCTCAAGGTTCTCTCTAAAGCTCCCAGGAGTTTCCAGGCAGGAGAATGTAGGGCCATTAAAGTCCCTAAAGGTACCCCTCAACAAAGCGGGGAGGGCAGCCAGTGGATAAATGCCTGTCCTCTCTTCCTCTGGACAGATAGCCCTGAAGCGCACTATTTGATTGCCAGTTGCCCACAATGGGAACCTTCTCAGTAAGGTTTTCTTCTTCTATGACACTCTTTTCTCCTTCTATGACACTCTCCTCCATGCCCTTGATCTGGCTCCTGGGACCATCTCCCAGATAAACTTCCTACCCTTAAGTCCTTGTCTCAAACTATATCTCCGGAACTAAAGGTTGGGATGGGGAGTGTATTGTTTTCACTCTTTTGCTTTGTTTTCATTTGTGTTTACAGGCATTTCTCTCTATATCTCTCTCCATAGGTCACCAAGATGCTGGCCGTGGTTGTCATTCTGTTTGCCCTTTTATGGATGCCCTACCGGACTCTTGTGGTCGTCAACTCATTTCTCTCCAGCCCTTTCCAAGAAAATTGGTTCTTACTCTTTTGCAGAATTTGCATTTATCTCAACAGTGCCATCAACCCAGTGATTTACAACCTCATGTCTCAGAAATTCCGAGCGGCCTTCAGGAAACTCTGCAACTGTAAGCAGAAGCCCATGGAGAAACCCGCTAGCTACAGTGTGGCCCTAAATTACAGTGTCATTAAGGAGTCAGACCACTTCAGCACAGAGCATGATGAGATCACTGTCACCGACACGTATTTGTCTGCCACGAAAGTGACTTTTGATGACACCTGTTTGGCTTCTGAAATAACCTTTAGCCAAAGCTGACTCATGAGTTAGAAGAAAATGGACCATAAAGTGAATCTGTGCAGTTAGCAACCCAAGAGAGGAAAAGGCCGCTACTCATATGGGAAGACAGAGCAGGTAGTCTTTTCCAGTGCTCTAACAAATCCTGGCCCAAGATACTTTAACCCACAGAATGACTCATATTTTCCTTCTAGTGTCACAAAGCTAATGTCACAAAAACTGAAGCAGACCTGTGAAAGAGCCAAAGGGTGGAAATTGAGAGTGTAGTCCTTTGCATTTAATTTGAGAAATTCACTTTATTGGGGGGGGGGCTATGAAGTTTAGATAAAATCTAGACATCAATTTACATTATTTATAATAACTCTACCAAATGGGATTTCTCCACTTCCCACCAAAGTATTTATATATGGGTGGGACAAAATTAGGTTTACAGTTGTTCATATGGAAAAATAATACAATAATTCATAAATAATAATACAAGAATAAACTCTGTGTTTTGCATACTCACAACTGTTAAGCCTACTTTGCCTCCCTCTGTATTTGGTAATTTTGCAGCATGTGAATGCTTCAATGTTTGGTAATTTTGGTAATTTAATGCTTAAATGTTTGCATTTAGCATTTCAACAAAGTGCAGTGCTATATCATGAATATCTGAGACTACAGAAAAAATAGAAAAATATTTTATATTTATTGAGTGAAAATGAGATTTCAGACAAATATGTTCACTATACTAAAACAAATACAAAAGGAAATGTCATGATTCTTATAAAATTTTGAGATGATTTTTATATCTTACAAAGTAGACAGCCATCATTTCAAGTTTAATGTAACATAAACCACACAATAGTCAAAATTACAAATTAGGAGGAAATGTAGATTTAATTTTTAGGTAAATCCAGCTCTTATCAACTCTTTGAACCTCCCAAGTGATGGCTTAGACATGAGAATTATTCAAATTAAGTAAATGTGAAAATACAAATGAACACACAATTAATATTGAAAAGTATTGCCAAGACAGGCCAAGTATTTAAAATAAGGTTTTACTTGTCTCTGAAACTTTAAGAAAGAAAATCCTCCTTGAGTAAATATTACTGTGTGCAAAGTACTGAGCCATGTCAGTGAATAAATCCTTCTGACTCTAGCTTAAAGGATGGGAACCTTCTCAAAAGCTTACTTGCTATTCTATCAGTGTGACTCCTCTCTGATCACTACATACAGCCTACAGATGTTAACTTGTCTACACTTGTCTTTCCTTGCTGCCTGCTTGTTATTTGTAGGTTCTTTATCTTTTTTCAACTGCTAGTGATATTTTGTTTACAGAGTCTAAATCAAAGCAATGCAAAATGCTGTTGGCTTTATTTTCAATAGAGCTAAAACCAATTTCAACTCATAATCTGTATCTCTTTATAGTTATGATTTAGACTTGCTAGTCTGTATCAGTGATTATTAGAGAGCCATGAATGTGAATTTGCCCAAGACAGTGTCTGGTCTTACTTCATTCCCTTTCAAATGTCTCACCTACTGAGATTTGGCCAATCAGCATCTCCAAGTGTATAAATTGCCCTTGGTGATGACAGTAATAGCTAATTTTTAATGACTGGGCCAGAAAGTACTGGGTACTTTTAAGTGTCCCATAGGCTAAAATGTTCCCTCTCCAGCCTGTATCCTTTTTTGTGCATTTTCCTGGAACCTAATTGCTACTGATAATTATCCCACCCCACCTTCTTAATGAAGAAGACATTGTGTTTTGGAAACTTGTTAAAATGCTGCTTTGCCATCCAGAACCTCATTTCAGGATATGCTTTTGTAAAAATTGGCCTCATCCACTCCAGGAAGACATTCATATCCTGTCACTGTGTCAGTAAACAAATGCAAGCAAATCCATATATATATAAAAGGCTAATATGCAAAGTGTCCCCACAGGAGTTTGACCAGGAGACTGAGAGTTCAATTGCTTGCTATGACATGTGCTGACCACCAGGGGGTGGCATGGAATGAAGTAAGGTACTGGCTAGCAGCTGGCAGCCAGGGAAGGGAGGCCCTGGCTGGCAGCCAGAAGGCCCTGATCGCCGTCCAGACCTAGGGACCCCACCCATGCATGAATTTTGTGCACCAGGCCTCTAGTATTTATATAAATACCCTAAACGTCTATCTGCATGACACTAAGAAACCTATTTTAACTGACTTGCATCCTGAATTAAATGTTAATCTTGGAAGCACCAGAGGGACCCAACCCCAAACCACATGAGCACACATGCAGGTGCATAATAACACAGACACACACATGTAAATAAACTGCTTAACAAAGGGATGTATTGGAATATATTCAATATTTTTCATTAGGGGAAGGAACTTATATTATTGAGCTTCTAACGATGTCTCAGGCATGCTGATAGGCCTTTAACCAACATTATCTTCATCACAATCTCACTACAGCTGTAATGATGATAACACCAGGGGTCAGGGATCAATGCAGCTTCCCTAAATTGTGTAGATACCAGGGAGAGAAAATGCCATTTTTTTCTTTTCTTTTATTAAGGCCAGCATGATGATTAAAATTCTTTCAGCTTCATGCCCTGCAGAATAAAATATATATATGCTCTGCAGGGTGGTAATACCAGATGTTAAAAAAATTTACAATTTGTCTTTCATGTTATACACAGAACAGAGTACACCTTTCCCGCCTTTGGAAATTTAATATATGTGCTCAGTTTTTCCATTTTAATTTTTTAAAGTTATTTGCACCCTGGCCGCTGTGCTCACTGGTTAGAGCATCAGCTCATGTATTGAAAGGTCTCTCTCAGGTTCAATTCCCAGTCAAGGGCACATATTGGATTGTGGGTTCACTCCCCACCCCTGGTGGGGTTCATGTGGGAGGCAACCAGTCTATGTGTTTCTCTCTCTCTCTTTCTCTCTCGCTCTCTCTCTCTCTCTCTCTCTCTCTCTCTCTCAAAAAAACAACAGAAAAAATATCCTCAGGTGAGGATTAACCAAAAAAAAAAGTTTTTTTTGCTAACAATCTGTTAGTTTTAGACCATATGGGAAATTCAAAAGGATACAGTATTTCCACTGTAAAGCAAATGCCATAACAAAATTAAGGGTTCTCATGCAATGTCCAATAGATATCTGATTTACACAGAAGAGATACAACTTTTTAAAGTATTCTTTCTCACACTGTGCTAAATCATAAAGTAGTTCCATAAATAATCAAAACTTAACATACCATCAAATGAAAATTAAAGAACTAGATTAAAATTTGCTGTTGGAGTGAAGTAATATTATTAAGGAACCCTCTTAGTAAAATTCCTTGACTTATTTATTACTCCCAATTTCACTAACTGCTGAGTGTCTTTGGTTAGATACTGCACCTGAGGTAATTAGGTAAAGGTCACAGATCATGAATAAAACAAGACTTCACCATCAGTATTGTGAGTGTATTTCTAGAGCTTCACTCAGCACAACTATTCTAAATGCTGGAAAGAAATAGGAAAAGTCCAAACGAGATTCAACCATAAGCAGGCTAAATGCACAGAACAAGACATCTTGACAATATTCAAAACAAATGGACAGTTCCAGTTAAACAATTAGTAAAGTCAAAGGAAAACTGTAGCCATAAAACTTAGTTGAATATAACAAAATCTTAAATGAAGACTCGTTTAATTTCCAGAAGATCTTGTTGGAATAGTAAGACAATTTTTCAGTAAAGCGGAGTCACAGAGTTCGAGATTGCTCTTAAAGAATCAGAGTTACATCATCCTAAACTATGTTAAATTTGAAGACATGATAGAAGAAAGAAAATATTAACTTTTTGGAGAAAAAAGAAATTTTAAATAGTTTACCTATGACTGTGAATTCTATGAATATTACATTGAACATTAAGGAATGAAGTAAGAATAGAGTAAGGAAACTAGATGTGAATAAGAGGGCATCCAAAAACAACTGGTCAGTTCCAGGTGCAAAGGAAAGATTTTTCAAATGTTTGGAATCACTTGTTCCCCTTGGAAGAGGCAGAGGATGAAAACCTCTAGCAATTCATTTTCTATTTATATCCAGTTGTCTAATGTAAATATCCATCAAAACCAAGATTTGGCTGAGCAAATACATTTTCAGAGTAATACACATGACGATGTCTAAGAGACTTCTGTGTTAGGTATTTTCCTCTCTTTCTCCTCCTCTCCCATCAAATCTTATTCCTCCATAAACATCACCTTTCCTCAGAGCAGAGCAGTTCATCTGACTTCAGCTAAAGCTAATCCTGAAAATGAACTATCTTAAGTAAAAGTATAAATATTCTTTCAACCATATTTATTTATTAAAAAAATATGTTGTTGTTCTGAGCACCTTTGTGTTTTCATAAAATCATATTTAAATTATGGGAAAACTGATGCCTCTAAAATCTCTAACTTATGCCCTCGTTTTTTATGGTGGGGGTCACGTGTAGAATGAAGCTAGCTGCTCAATATGGGTGTTTCCTCACAAAACCAAAAAAGAGGTTTGGTATTTCTGAGGTTTCAGTGAGGAACCAATAAAAGAGCACTCAATGTGTGAAAAATCTCTGCAGGAACCAAAAGGCTTTTCCAAATCTTGAGGAGCTCACAGACCATTAAAAAAAAACACCCCCCAAAACAAAAAAATAACAAGACCAGTATGATATCATTTCAAGATTAACTGCTTGGCAATATTTAGCCTATGAATTGGAAATGTCATGTTTTAAAGAAACAATTGTTAAAAGTCCACTTAGAAATACATTAGGATGACTTTAATATAAAGATCATTTTTAAGTATTGTAATTCTATTTTATGAACTAGTTACATTGATTCATTTAATTCTTAACTTCATTAATTACATGGGGGGGGGGAGGTCAGGTGACACCCTGTAATGTTTTTGTTCATATGCTTGGTCTATAAGTATAATCTCAAATCATTCAGCAGAAAACCTCATTTATAAGAGTTGCACATTGGGGAACAGTTTTGTTACCGAGATGGTTAGCACCAAATGGACCATGCTGATGGGAACTAGAT